CTGTTCTGGAAACAGGGTGGTATCCTTGCTTTTTCTCCTTGATGGTCCCAGTCGGAGTTGCGGGGGAGTTTGCACGTGGGTCTTCTAACTTGGCACTGTCATGAAATAGTTGCTCTCTGATCCCTGGACTGATTCCTGTGTCTTTTGCAAGGAGCTGGCTCCAGTCTGGGTGGCAGAGGCTGGAGCAGAGCCTCAGGGGGACCTTGGGGTGCTGGCCACCTGCCACTTTCTTCCTCTCGTTCATCTCCTATGGCTTTTGAGGTCAGGGGTCCCTCAGGGAAGATGGAGTTGCAAGTCCAGATCCCCATACCACAGCTGCTGCCCATTTGAGCAGATGGTTAGGGTGGGTGGAAGAAGTCTGCGTGCTCTATGGAAAAAAAACCACCTTTCTAAACCTGTGAAATAACTGTAAAATGATGGATTAGCTGAAGACTTGTGAGAAGTGGTTAGGCCTTCAACACTTTTTTTTCTGGTTGTGCTTCCAAGTAGTTTTGTTGGGAAAATAGAGTAAGAAGTTAAACACCTGGAGCTCCTGGCTGTTTGTAGCTGCTGGTGAGTGGCAGTGGCTTTTGGGAGCAGTGGAGGTGGCAGGATGGTGGATGGGCTCCAGCAATCCCTTGGGTTGACCTGAAGGTGAAGTCCCACCAGAGGCTGATGGCCCCTAGTTGTGCCCCTTGACCCAAGCTGAGCTGCTTGCCAAAGCTCAGACCTTCCACCCTGCTCTGGGACAACGGGGAGCAGAAGACCTCCCCATGTGGGCCTTAGCTTGCTTTGGGTGCCTGAGGCTGCTCTTGGGCGAGAAACAGAATAAAGGGCTGAAAATAAAAATGCACAAATCTTTCTATAGCATCCAGGAAGAGAAGTGGGATGGGGTGAAAGTCAAGTGGTTTTATTGGAGGTAGTTGTGAGCCATGAGAGCTGAAGAAGAGAATGTCTCTGAGCTGCCTGTTGTTTGAGAAGTGACCTTTGAATAGGAGTGGCCTCTGATGATGACAGCAATCCAGCGGCATGCGTTAAATGAGCTACAGAAACTAATTCAGTGACGTTTGGTCCTCGCATTGCATATTTTCCAGTGTGCTTTTGGTGGAAGTGATTGTTGTTGGAGGCTGGAGCTGTAGGAACATGCAGTGTAAAGAAAGACAAGGCAAGGCCTTCAGCTCTTCTCTGAGCTGCTGGGTGCTTGAAGTGCCCTGTTTTCACCTAGGGGGTAATTACTTCATCTAACAAGCTTTATTGCTCCTGGAGTCTGCGACCAAGAGCTATCCCTGCTGATAAATCATTAATACTTACTCCATTAATACCACCAATAGTCTGAGAAGATGACACATGGAAACATGTTGATGAGATATTAGCATATTCACAAATGAGCAAAACAAAAGCACAATTAGGGAGGCCAGAGGGAGCCTAGAAATGGTGATGAAAGCAGCTTGCTGGCGCTCTGGTGGGGGTGAGGCAGGAGACCTGGAGAGAGATTGTGTCATCTGCAGCACTGCTGCCAGGCTCTGCTGCTGCCTGAAAGGCTGGGGGAATGGGATGTTCTGCACAGAGCTATGCGAACTATTTTTGCTATATAAATAAAATATCTCTGAGATTAAATTGAGCCAAAGAGGGGGAAGGTGGGAAGCCTTTGGGAAAAATGGGGCTTTGCTATTTTTGTAAATAAAACAAGCTGGTGGCAGAGAGTTTTCCTCATCTTTTTTTTTTTTTAAAGAGAAGAAAAAAAGAAAGTATTTTTATGGCATGTCCTGGATGTTTTCTTTTCCCTTCTTCCCTGCCATAGTAGTAGGGGAGGACAGAAATCCCTGGCTAAGCTGGAGGGTCTGAGGTGGGAAGAAGAGTGTTTGCAACCATTACCTTGAACACAGGCCTCCTCCCTTTGGGGGCATCATCGCCCATAATAAAGTGCTTTTTCCACTTGGCAAGCACACCTTGTTATTTTTCAGGCTGCCTTGCGCCTTGGCCCTTGCTGACCCAGTGCTGTAGATAGAAACGCATCTTCTGTGTCGCAGAGTGGATGCAGTATGAATAAATGAAATATAAAGTTGGGTGTATCTGTGGTGTGGTCACCCAGGAAAGCCCTTTGGTGCGCCGGCTCCCCCTGCCCCATAAGAGAACTGCCTGCACAGCACCCCACCCTTCCTTCAACAGACCCCATCTTCTGGTGCCCATAAAGTCCCTGAATCTAGCAGGCAGGTGAATTTAACTGTGTTGTTTTGGGCAGGTGGGATGGGATGGGGCTGTCTGAGTTGAGTGGAGGGACCGGAGTGGCTTCGGGAGAGCTCTGGGCTTTACATGGGGTTACCTAGAATAACTTCCAGATCTTTATTCTTTGCAGAACAACTTATTAAACATCCCTGAGGCAGTGCAGAGGGCTGACCTGCACCATCCTTGTGTTGGCAGAGTCAGGGAATCCATGCATCTCGCTCACGGTCCCCACTTCTGCCCCTGTAGCTTTTATCTGATGGCAGGTTTCACCCAGTGATGCCTTGGAGCTTTCTGGGCCATACCCTGCGGTACCCAGCCCTCCCCAGCTGGTTTTGGCCCCGAGCTGGGAGCCTGGCTCAGCTTCACTTACCCCTTTCATGTTCTGGAGGATGCTCTGAGTGGTGGGAGTGGTACCGCAGCACAGAGCTGCTGTTTTTGGTTCTGTTTCCAAACTATGGGGACAAATGTGATGCATTTGTTCATTATTTGCTGCTCAGAGTCAGCGGGTAATGTCCTCACGCCTTCCCCTCCGCCCACAGGGGCGAGCGCCATTAAAAAATACAAGCAGTTTTGCAAGAAGCCTTTTTTCACCCAGTGATGGGCTTGGGAGGCTTGAGCCGTGTCAGGAGATGGGATGTCCATCCTTTCTTCTTTCACCTTACCTGTTTGGCGAGTGCTTTCAGGCAGAGGCTTTTCCTGGCTGCTTACACCAGGCTGAGGAGCAAAGAAAAGGCACTGGGGATCGTTTGTGGTCCCAGGCTCTTGCGGGAAGTGAGGAATCTCTTTTCACACTGGGAAAAATACGTATAGCCTCCTCCTTGTGTTATAGGCAAGAGACATTACTACACTTTTAAGCATCCAAGCATAGGGTTGAGCAGGAAAGCAGACCCCATGTGCCAGCCTTGTGGACCCGCAGCCTGGCGGCGCTGGGGATGAGATGGTGCCTCCGGTTCTTGCTGCTCATGCAAAGACCAAGTGTGAGTTTGCATGTGAAATTAGACCACACTGATGAGATCTGGTGTAATTTCTTGGCCAAGCCTTCCTCCTAGAAACTCACAGTGTTCTGTAGAAGGTGAGACCCAATTTCTGTTCTCCTTCATGAAAAAAAGAATTTATTCCACTGGGGAATTGTATTTTTTTTGTAAATGAGGGTAATGGCTTCTCCTCCTCCTTTATTTTCTCACTGATTTTAGCAGCAGTGTTTGAGCAAAGTGAGTGATTTTTTTAATAGTTTGGGATGATTGTTTTTTTTTTAATGCCTGCTTTTTGCTGTTACTGGACAGTATTGAGCTGTAGCTCAGGATACAGAGCAATCCTACTGTAAATCTCACCCCATATATGCTCCCAGCCCCAACAGTTTCCCGGGCTGGCTGTGGTTTGAAGTTGCAACAATCATTTGCTGCTTTGTTCTCCGTTTCTACCCCACTGGAACCAAGACAGAGCCAGGAACAGCTCAGTACCCACAGCTCAGCTGGAAAGACTGAAGTCTTGCTGTTGAGCCACCCAACCAACGCTAATATAAAAAGGGAGGTGAAAGGATGGGCCACTGAAGAGGCTGAAAAAGGCTAGGAAGGAAAAGGAAAACGCGTAATAATTGCATTTCCTTTTGAGAAGTGGGGCTGGAGAAGATGCCCTCATTTCTCCTGGCCTTTACCAGGTGGCTGTTGTGGTGCTGGCTGCCTTTATTACGCTCACTTGATGAAAATCAAGAGATGATGCATGTGTTGCAGGAAGCAATCATGCAAACACCCAGAGCTTTGATGTTCCCCAGGACGCTTTGTTTAGCAGCCGAGGAGAACGGCAGAGCCTGTTTCCCAGCCTGTGCTGCCGCCGATTAACCCAGAGCAAACCAAAGCCTGTGTTTCGGGAGAGATGGCAGCTTGACCCTCTCCTGTTTGCACCCCATAGAGAACGGCAGCTGCTTCTTGGTTGCCCTCCCCATAGAAGCCCTGCTGCTCCAGGGCTTCAGCTGTAGCAAAGAGGTATCTTGGAGGAGACCCTCATGCCCTCTCTGTGCAAGGAAACAGTCAGCAATTAAGAGCAGGGACATAAAACGCTGTCAACTGGCACATCTCTACCTGCGGAGAGGTGCTGCTGCCTTCTCCAAAACCCCTCCAGAAACTCAGTTGTGCCACCGTCTGTGGCCAAGAAGTGGCCAAGTGAGGGGATGTGGGCTGGGGTGAGCATCCCCTCCCCAAACCAGCCCTGCCCTCAGCCAACCCCCCCCAGCTTCACATGCCAGCAGCTGAACACATAAATTGGGGATTAAAAAAACCCACCCCTTCGCTGTATTTTAGGGAAGTTTTTCAAGGACTAAAAATAAAGCTGCAGAGCAAGCACCCACGTGTGTGAAATGGGGCACCTCTCGGCCCAGGAGCGTGGGTGGTCAGTGCGCTTTCCCACAGGCTCCCAGTCTGTGTTTGGGGAAAAAAACCCCACAATTAAATGGAAGAAAAAATGAAAACATGAGCTTCTGCACAGAAGCACCCACAGAAAAATAAAGGGAGCGGTGATGGAGCAGCCCTGTAACTGCTCATGGTTCCTGGCAAGGAAAGCCAAAGGATTTCACAGTGGGGTGATGCGGGGAGGTGATTTTGGAGAAAGAGGCTTGTGAAAGCACAGGAGACCCCTGCACACTGCTGGCTCTGGCTCAGCAGCCCCCATGTCCTCACCCCAAGCTGCTGGGCTGGCTGAACCTCCACCCTCTCCCTTTACCTCCCCCCATCCTTTCCACTTGGGGAATTTGAGTTCCCTTGCCTTGAAACCAAGTGACCAACGTGCCCCAGGACCCAGAGTTTCCTACACAAACGCCAAAATTCAGGTTTATTGTAGGCACTGCACACCTGCCCTCTGGTTGCCTGTCGTCCTCCGGACCCGCCGTCATCCTGCCCGCAGCAGTGGCTCGGCACCCGGGCATCTCCTTGACAGCGGATGCTCTGCTGCAGAAACGCTTATAAATTAAGGATTTTTTTTAATTTTTTTTTTTAAATATTTTCTCCTCATCCCTGCTAGGAGTCGTCGTAGAGAGGGTTGTTGTAGTTGCCCCAGGAGCCATAGTCGTGGTCATCCAAAAGCCTGCCGTAGGAGGAGTGCCTGCCAGGGGAGAGCAAACCGCCCAGCGTTACCGGTTGCTTTGGTGGTTTATTAGTTATTTTACCGTGGGGCAAAAAAAAAATAATATAAATAATGCATGCAAGTCCTCACTAGGTCAAGCTCTGGGACATTTTAGCAGGACGCACCAGGACAGAAAATAAACCCAGGCAGGATTTTGTCTCCTTTGAACCAGAGTGGGATGTGCTAGGGAATTAAAACAAGACTTGAGCTCATCTCAGTTGTCAGCAAAGCCTCATTACAGATGCTCAGCGCTGGGCTGGGCTGCTGTTTATTGTCTAAGGCACAGCAAGGCCTGTGGCAGCAGCTTGCCCTAGGGATAATTACTGGTTATGACTATGCTGAACAGTGTCTCTGGCATCTGAGGGAGGCTGTTGTAGAACAATGAAGAAAAACTCTGCTTTTCAACATAGATGTGGTAGAAAATGCAGCCGTGCTGGGACAGGAGGCTGCACTTCGCCCCGCTGGGCTTGGGGACAGCATCTCCCCAGGGCTTTGCCCCTGAGCATCCCCCTTGCCATGGTGAGAGGGGCTGCAGCCTCAGGGGGGGACCACAACTTGAGCACCCTGCCAGGCAGGCGCCCCAAAAACAGCCTTACCTGATCTTGAGGTACGCCGCTGCTCCAAAAACCAGCACCACGACCACGATGACTGTCACAGTTATGGCCACGATGCTCCCTGTGGAGGATCCATCAGAAAGGGCAGTGCTCAGCTCCCCCCTTCCCGAGTCCCAGCCTCATCACACCCACCCCACACCCCGGCTGCTCCCAATACACCCATGCCAGCCATCTCGGGGGCGGAGAACGATGACAACACACATCCCCTTTCTGCTCCCCAAAGTTCCTGTGGAGGATGCTGGGCACCTCTATATTTTTGCCGTGACCCCCTTCCCATAAAGGCAGGGGTAAAACACAGCTGGGCTTTGCTTGAGGACTATGGACCTGCTCCCTGCACCAGGCAACATTTAGTGCTGAGCCAAGGCTAGAAAATGCTCCAGATCCTTCCCTTTTCTGGCCTTATGGAACACTTCTAAGCTATCTGAGCTTGCAGAAAAGGAGAGGTGAAAGCTATTATCAGATTAGTGAGTCTCCAGGAGGGAGAAGAAAAACTTACATCTTCCTAACTCGGGCTGCACCCACCATCCAGGCACTTGTTTCCTCTCATCCTTATGCATTTCAAGTAAAATTTTATTCACATCTCCAGGCAACTGAGGTTTAGTACCTATGGCTCTTTGTCTCCACCAGTGGAGCAGATAACATAGGCTCCATTAGAAAAGCTCAGCTGTTGCTGAATGGTCCTCTCAGAAAGCTGACAATCTCTTCCCTTCCAATTTGGGTGGTCTGCCCCTCTTATCTAAGCACCTTGAGGGTGATATTATATCTATATATGCATACGGAGAGTGGTGGTGCTCACCTGCACTCAAGGCACGCGGGACCTCTTCCATGATGACTCCAGTGGACAGGGTGGTTTTGTCCATGGTCACGGCCTCGACTGTGGTGGGGTTCGTCACAGTCTCTGGGGGGGACGTTGGCTCCACAGCCAGGCTTGATGCCATGGCCAGCGTCCCCAGAGAAGGGGATTCCTTAGTCAGCTCTGGTGGCCGGGTGGTGCTGGGGCTTGTGAGGACAGATGTTAGGGACAAGACTGTCCCAGTGGATGAGGACAGGTCGCTGGTGGGGAGGGAAGAGGATGATGATGATGATGATGATGATGATGATGCAGGCATACCCGTGGGGCTGGCAGCTGCCCCCAGATCCGTCGTGCCTCTTGCCAAGGTGGCAGTATTTGCTGTCCGAAGACCTGGGGCTGTCTGCAAGATTGTTGGCACCAAGCTGGCGTTGGAAGATTCAGATGGGCTGTCTGCTGTGGTGATGGTGGTTGCAGTGATGGAGCTCACATTGATGGAGGCAGGAGCAGGGGACAGTGCTGCCGTGGGGGTAGCATTGTGGCCATCCCTCTCCACTAGCCTGGGGGACACCCCATCTCTGGAAGGTCCTGTGGATGTGGGTAGCGAGGGCTGGCCAGAAACTGGTGTGGAGACAACTGCATCCCTGGAGCCTGGCCCCACTGGGATCCTCTCCAAGGGGAAGGGAGAGCTGGTGGGGGCAAGGGGCGATGCTGTGGAGTCATTGCCCAGTCCTAGGAGTGAGACAAAGAAATATTAATAACAGGGAAATCCTTGGAGAAACCTGAGGTTTGGGTGAACACTAAAGGGTTTGGGAATGAAGCTGGAAATACATGTATTGTTTTTAAAATGCTGAGAGCCATCTAAAAATAAAGATATCCCTGTGTAGCTAGAGGTGAGGTTTAAACCAGACCACTTGCCCCAGCATGGGTCAGCACCGTTTTTCCCCAAGGTTGGGATCCCTCCCCCATCCCAAATCACCCCCTCCATCTTCCCAGCATCTCCTCCCAGCAGCCAGCAAAGCAGCAGGGGAGCAAGATCCTCCTCAGCAGCAACCACCACGCAGCTGGGAATGATAACACAAGATGCCTCTTTCTTCTCTCCCCCCCATTTCCTTGTGCATTCATTCATTTGTCTCCATTTCTTAGCATGAAGATGAGTCATTTTTTCCTCTATCCTCACCAGCACTCTGCTGGGCCTCTCCCCCTCCCCCTCTCCTTTCTGCTCTCCAAGGTTAAAACTCAGCACTGGACCAGCACTAGCAACCAGCTCCCCCAGCAGTGCTGGGCCCAGGGAAGAGCATCCCAACACTAAGTGACACTAGGAGGGACTCTTATTCCCATGCATTCATTTATTTACACCCCCAGAGCGTCCCAAGCCCAGCACCGGGAAGAGCAAGGACTTGCTCTGGTGCAAACAAGCTGCAACAAACTAATTATTACATGAACATGGAGGACAAAAAACACTCAGCAAAACGCTGATTTTGTGGGAACCCTGAAGCCTAACTCCCACCTCAGCTCCAGAGACAGGAGCTTGGTGCTTATCTAAGTAAAAAACAACAGCAGTGAGAACAGAGACAACTATCTTGGTAGATCTTTGTGTGTAGGAGCTTGCAGATCACACACGGCTGGGCATCACTGGTGGGCACGTAAGGCTCTCCTCCCCATCACCAAGCCACCCCCCAAGGAGATACTGTCAACCACTACAGCCAAATCTGCTGTCCCCCCAAAGTCAAACTGAAATGCCACCCATGCAGGTGACACCCAAGGTAGCAACAAAGGTCCCAATTTGCACCGGAGATGTGTTTTAGATGGAACAGAGCAGTTGCTGACCCACCATACGACTCCTATTGCACATAAAGCTGCACCAAGAAAGAGTGGCATGGGAAGGACTCAAATTTGGGAGCAGAGGGTCTTCCAGCAAAGCCTCTCACTGCTGAGCACCCAGGAGAGCCACAAGGCTTCCAGGGCACAGACAGCACCTCATGCTGAAGGAGAGACAGAAACTTTTAGTGCCTGTTTGTAGAAATGGTGAGATGCAGCACTGGTGAGCAGGGACTCACTAAACCATGTTTTTGGGTGTTTCCAGCTCTCAGTGCAAACAGAAGGCTGCTGGTGTCTCATACGGCTTCACTCAACCCACACTTCGTCAGTGGAGGAGGACAGCAGAAGGGACATCTCAGCTAAGGGCCTCCAGCTCACGGCAACGAGCACCAGGTATGTAGCACAACCTTTCATGAAGGCATTTTCTGTCTAGAAACTGCAAACATATGCCTGCCCAGGCATTTAAAGCCAGCTCTGGGGCATGGCTTCTACAAGAGCTCAAGGCATTTAGAAGCACAAGAGACCCCTGTGGTAGACCTCATTTCCCAGGCAGGAGGGTCTGGGAAGTGAAACTGGTGCTATGGGTGCTCTTCTCCCAGGGACAGGCACTTGGAGATGCCTGAGCTTTCAACCACCACAGGCTCTCGGTCTGCTGAGGCACAAGGCTGATAGACCTTAGGATAAGGGAGAGGAGATGGATGACAGGCTGGAGTCTGGTTACCAAATAAGCCACCTGGCTCAGCATCCTGGTTTCCACGCCCAGCCCAACCACAGCAGCAGGGAAGCACATAGACATCCCACCTCTTTCCCAGCTTCCCAAAGCGTGCTAGGCTCCTGCAATGCTTCTGCTGTCAACTGGGCGCTCTGATATCTCCTCTACATCTCAGGCTCCCTGGCTAATGCCTGGGAGTTACTGGCACGTGAACTTGAGCTGCATTGCTGTGATAATCCTGAGCTTAGAAGCCATTAGTTCAGATGAATGCACTGGTTTTCACAGCTTGGCTTCACCCACAGCATCTCACCCAGACAAAGCCTGCCCACAGCTCTGGCTCCATCCAACGGGTCCCCACTCATCCTGTCCCTTCCTCCTGCAGAGGCTGGGGGCTCACTTGCTCAGTTTTGGCCACTGCAACAACATTAAACCAAATATTCCCTGTGCTGCTCCATCCTCTTGCATAGCTCTCCATGTTGATGTGCCACAGGGAGGAAGTGTCAAGTCCCATGCCAGTGTGGTGGGACCCGCAAAGCACCTACAGCAACATCTGTCAGGGACCAACATTTAGTACGTCACTTTCAGCAGCCAGAAATAAGCTGCAAGAACCTGCCTCCTCAGCATGTTGATATTGAGGTGCAAGTGGTTGATTTGTGCCCTTTTTGCTTTTACCAAGGTAACCCCTCCTTCTTGGCTGGGCTGACGCATCCCCATGTGGTCTTGCTAACACACTCATTTGGGGAGCAGGTGGCAGAGTACAAAGAAGGGAGGCTGTCAAAACTGCATCTTCTTTTTTAAGATAAAGAAGGCACAGGTGCCATTTCTAGCAGGCAGTGTTAGCCTACAACCTCCCACATGGCAGGAGCTGAAGGTGCCATCAGCCACAAACCCGGGAGAGCACAGCCCACTGCTTTTCATGGCCAAGGGTGGGACATGAAATCCCCGGCTGGATTCATGGGGAGCATTGAGCAATAGGGTCTTTCTCAAGGATTTAAAGCCATGCAGCTTTAGGCAAGCTTTTAGGCAAGAGGAGGCATGGTCTCTGCCAGAGGACAGGTCTGCTTTGGAGATGGCATGGGTGGAAAGGCGTATCAGCAACTCATTGATATAAAGGCAGGAGTGAAGAACCCAAGTACTTTGGCCCAGCACTCTCCACCAGCGTTCCTGTGCCCACACTTCTGACCTTAGATAACTGGATTATTCCGCCCCCCCTCCCCAAGCTACACCAACACCAAGTCAGCAGTGATGCAAGGTATCGTCACCACAAATGCTATTGCAACAGCAAAACACTCAACCTCCACAATGCTGCCTGAAGGTGGCCAGTTGACCTAACATGGCATTGCCAAGAGCAGCTTCCAGCTCATGCAGGGCCTGAGCAGAACACTCATCACATGTTTAAAGAGGTCTGCACTGGAGATGGCTCAGCCATCTGCCATGTTGTAGCAGAGGGTGCTGGTAGTGGTGACAAACCTGGACCAAACATCCCTTGATGCTTGGTGTTCTTCAGATCAGGGTTCAACATCTATCTGTATTTCTGTAAAATTATCCTTTCCCCATCACTCCTTGGCATTTCAGATGTGTAGCTTCTCCAACAGGTGGCTTCTGCAGCCCATAGCATGACATGTTGCTGTTACATGAAGCACAGCAGGACCTTCTTAGGGCTGACGGCACCTTGCAAGTTTATTACTTCTCTGTAAACGTAGATGCTTCCAGCATCTCTTGGACACAGGCAGCTTACTACCTCTCTGCAAAGCCTTCCCATGTTGCTTGCTTCTGCTTTGGGTCAGCACAGCTCTCATGATCTGCTTGAACTTTGGAAGCAAACCGTTAAGGACCTCAAAAAGCTGGCAATACTGCTAGCCAGGATGAGTCAGGAAGTTTCTGATAATATCTAAGGGGTATAAATTCAGAGAGTGAGCCAAAACTGGATGCAGGAACAATCCTTGGCCGCTGGCTGGGCGTTCCCAGCCAAGCAGGTCACAAGTCACAGGGATATTTCCCAAGAGAGCAAGCACAGCCAAGGCAGCCCTGGTTCTCCCTATCTCCCCCTGCTCCTGCAGGGTCATTGCCAGCCAAGCTTTGGTTCCCAGATCGATAGTGCTGCATTAATCTCTGCTAGCAAACCCTGCCCATGCCAGCCCTCTGCTGTCCTCTTGTTCTCCTGAGCGATCACCTCCATTGGGTCATCTGGGACCCAGCAACTGCCCTGGGGTCCAGCTCTGACCTACAGCCCATCACCCTCTCACACACAGGCCGTGCCCTTTGGCACTGCCGGAAAAGTCCAGCTGGGATCCCAGAGGCAATGGAGGTTGCTTCTCAGCCGGGTTAGGATGAGGGGACAAAAAAGGACTTTGCTGAGGACCTCCTTGGCTGATAGCTCCACATGTCCTCACACCACTGCGCCCAAGTCATGGACAGCCTGCACTACAGGTAGGGGTTGCCTGTCCCCAGGGAGCTGGGTGGCCAGAAGATCACCCAGCCTGTCTGCAAGCTGTGTCTACCAACACATCTGAAAAGGGGGGTGGGTGGGAAAAAGCCAGGATTGGGGTTTCCTTGTTTCTCCAACACCTAGCCTTGTAGGAGCTGCAGTTGTTAGCAGGAACCAGAGCAGTGCACTGGAAGAAGGGACACAAAAAAAAACACTAGAAAACTTCTTTTAGGGCCACATGACTTCAGTGGCTAAAAAAAACCTCAAGCAGGGGTTGTCAGAGGGACTGAAGGATGTCAGCTATCAGAGGATGCCGAGCATAGCTCAGCCCTGAGGAATCTGCCCATCTAATTCACTTAAAGCAGTTGACCACCCCGCAGGAATCCAGCTCAGAGCAGAGGCAGGCAAGGGACTGCCTGGACCTGGTAACCACCTAGGAAAACTGTGGTGTCACACTTTGCAGCCACATGTGAAAGGTCCTTTTTCTACGTTGCCTTCCTTCAGAGTATGGGAAAGAGCCAAGAAAAGAAACCCCAAACTCCCTGTAATTCAAATATTTTGCTCTTAGGGAATATTAATCATAATCACCCGAGAAATGAGCTGTCCACCTGAGGGATTATCTCCCTCTCCCATTTGCATGCTGTTCTCCTGGCTTCTGCAAGCCACGCAAAGGCAGAGGTCTCACCCTTGCAGAAGCTGAACGTTTCCCATGCTCTGCTTGGGAACCAGACCTGGGCTGGCAGCCTCTCCAGCAATGCATTTCTCAGGCAC